CCATATATATGTGTATAGATTTTAAGTCCGCGGCTCCCTCCATGCTCTTTTACTCATTGAGCTCCAAATATTTGTTGATGGCTGCAGTACGCACCAAAAAGCTGTGGAAGGGTTTTCAAAGGGAACGTACTCAGGGCACAGACCATACTCCTGACCGGCCTGGGCCCACCTCGCCTCTGACCTGCTGTGGATCTTTGCTCTTGTTTTCCGCTGTTATTTAGCGACGTGCCATTTCGCTTCTTGGTGACAGGGTCAGCGCTGCCTTGGGGACCCCCTCAGTGGAGGCAGAAGCCCTCTCTGCTTCTTGAAAGATGCAGCATCGCGCCCAAGCCTGCCTGTCCCCTTAGCGGTATTCCCCAGCGGGCAAGGCGTCCTCCTCCCTAACGCACACACACACTGAGAAAGCTCAGCTTTGCCTTTACGGCGATGTTTCTTAAGAGCATCCAGAGCAATAGGCAGTGCAGGGAAGACTCTGACTTTACAGTCAGCCATGTTAACGCTTTGTAACCAACCCAATAATATTTCCTTCTGCAGAATTTGAGAGGACCCACTATCCGGATGTGTTTGCAAGAGAGAGACTAGCTGCTAAAATAGACCTGCCTGAAGCAAGGATACAGGTACTGAGTTGCTGTGCGATTATGACTGTTCTTATTTTTCCTATCATGATTCTAATTTTGTTACTCCTGGCTTCACAAAGCACGGGGCAGCCCCTATTTATGAGCGGGTATTTGTCCATCTCCTCCTTCAGGAAAACAACAGCAGCTGGGGTTTGCTTTCGCACGCTGCTTTGCCACGCTGCAAGCCAGCTTTCTACCAGCACGGCCTCCAGTTACGCCGGGGAGGTCCCGTGCCTCTAGTCCTTGTAAGGTCACTCACGTCTCTCAAATGCTGTATTTTCAGGTGTGGTTTTCTAACAGAAGGGCCAAGTGGAGAAGGGAAGAGAAGCTGAGGAACCAGCGAAGACAAGCCAGCAACACTCCCAGCCACATTCCCATCAGTAGTAGTTTCAGCACAAGCGTTTACCAGCCGATCCCGCAACCGACCACCCCCGGTAATGCCACCGACCTGCTCATGTTCATCCATCCTCTTGGGAAAACAAGACTCTGAGACTGTATCGCCGACTGTAATTGCGGTTAAACTAATGTGTTCATCTATCTGTCTATTCTATTATAGTTTCCTCTTTCACATCAGGTTCCATGTTGGGCAGAACGGACACGGCGCTCACAAACACATACAGCGCGCTGCCGCCCATGCCTAGCTTCACCATGGCCAACAACCTGCCTATGCAAGTAAGTCCAGCGCCGGCACTGCGGCACGGAGCTCCCTGGGGACTCGGTGCTTCCCAGGGACTCGGTGGCCCCTGGGGTGTGAGGGAGTGCTCCGGACCTAAACCATGCTGCAGGGAAACTGGCACCAAAGGCTTCCCCAGCCTCTGAAAAGGTGCCCTGTTTTGGGAGAATCACAAAGGAAGGGGCACTGTAAGTCCTGGTGCTCTGACAAGCCCTTTCCCCAAATTTTAAGAGAGAAAGGTCCTCAAAATTACAAAAACCCCCAACCCACCCAACCCCCCATGGTTAACTTATGGAACTCACTGGTGCAGTATTGTGGAAATTGTCACCTGAAAAAGCTGCTGGAGGGTTCTGACCTTCCCGGCGGAGGTAATGTGGCGGCGGCGCATTAGGAACACCTGAGAGAGGGAAGGATGTGATTAGCATCAGTGGTTATGCCAGCTAAGCCAGAATTGCAAGAGCTGTCAATCCTCATGCCTGAAAGCATTAGCTGATCACCAGCTGGGTTAGGAAGAAATCTGTTCCTTTGGGGTTTGTTTCTATAGACCTTTCAGATGCAAAATTCCTCCTTTTTTAATGGTGGGGTTGGCCTAGGAAGGTGCTGGCCAATTACGGGAGTTTTACAGCTTTGTCTGAGGCGCACAGCATTGACCACTGCTGGAGACGGGCGAGCAGATTAGAGAGCCTGACTCCTTCGCTGTGGCAATTACTATGTTACTAATTGCTGAACCAAAATTAACCAAATAAAGTTAGAGTCTCGCAAGTCCATGGGAAGAAATGACGTTGGCTAGGTCGCTATTTCGTGACGTTGGAGGCCGGCGGTGCCGTTCCCGGCAGCGGACTGAAGGCAGATGACAAAAGATCAAAAGGCTGAGATGGGAGGGGGCGCTTGGGAAAGCAGGAGGCCCCTGATTCACCGCTGGGCACCTGGGCAGGGACCTGACATGTGTGAGCTGCTCTGGGAAGTCCTGCCTACGTGGCCCCCACAGCGTGATGGCCACGTGATGTCAGAGCAGATTTGGCAGCCGAACTGTCGGCATCTCCCTGCGGATGCAGGGCGCGTTGCTGGTTCTCCTGGAGCACAGTGTGCATGCTTAGCGAGTGAGGCTGTCAGTATTTTCGGAGACGGCGTGTGTCGGGGACGTGCCGATGGAGCAAATATGTGCAGATGTGTTGAGTCTCGTGTGCTCGGAGCGGGAATTACTCATCTTGCTTCCCGCTCCCCCACCGCCTTGGGGCAACACCGGTCCCCGCTGCCCCGGCACCGTGCCATCCCTCACCCCCTGCCCCCAGCTGCTCTCCCCCCTGGCAGATGGGGTTTTAGGCATTGGAATTTATCTAAATGGAGATGTCTGGCTTCCTGGGATGCTGCTGGCATGGATTTGGGGTGACTGCGGCTCTGACAGGGGAGGGGTCAATGCACGCATACGTGTGTGTTGATCCCCCTTCAGAGCCTCAGTCACCCCAAACCCACACATTGTCTCGGTGTGTGTGCAACATATGGGGTGCCAGCCCCGCTCTCTCTCTCTGTGGCTGCAAACGGCAGGAGGCATGTTTCTTCTACATAAGCACAAACAAGGGCTTTGGTTCCTTGGGTTAGGTATGCAACACCTTCGTTAGCACCTAGAGGTAGGGATCTTCTTGCCAAGCGTGTCTGAAATGGTGCCGGTGACCATCCACGTTATTTCTGTAGACCAAAAACCTCTGCGAAGAAGGTTGAGTACCTAAATACGGATTTACATCTTGGTCCCCGAATTTGAAACTGAAGCTCATTTTTGCTTGTGCATGCTGCTCCTGAGGGCTAGCACATCCATCCAGAAGAGCATAACGTGGTGTTTACCTTGGTTGATACTTAATGCTGTTGTGTCCTTTGCTCCTATAGCCCCCGGTACCCAGCCAGACCTCCTCCTACTCTTGCATGCTGCCCACCAGTCCATCGGTGAATGGACGGAGCTATGATACATACACCCCTCCTCACATGCAGACACACATGAACAGCCAGCCGATGGGCACCTCTGGCACCACTTCCACAGGTGAGTGGCGCCGCGTTCCCCCCGCCTTTCTGCCAGCACGGCTTCCTTGCTCCAGCCATCCGTTTTTTCACATGTATTCCCGGGGAGAGGTCTCTCTGTCGGGTTTTGTAGCTACCAAGTGGGGCAGAAGACAAAAATGTATAACCTCGTGAGCTAGAGCAGAAAATCTGATTTTTAAGCTGCTGCTGAAGGGGTAGATGAAAGATGGCTGATTAACAGAGGTGGCGTTTGAATAGCAGTACAGGGGAAAGCTCTTCAGTGAGGCTCCCATTCCGCAAAATCTTCCCTGTATGATTAAATTCTAAAGCAGCATTTATTTCAATGTTAGATTTCAGCAGAGCTACTCACACCCGAGCATGTTTTTACTGCGTCTGTGTCAGATGCTATTTTTTGCTAAATATTTGAAGTTATCGGAAAGGCAGGTGACCTGTAGAAATATTAACCTATGCTTAAGAAGGCAAAACAGGGTAAAAAAGGGTAAGTGTCAGCACAAGCAGAAGCAATCCAGATGCATTTAAAAAGAATACAAATGTTCGGTGTATTTTGGGCTGAATTCCCAATTGATACCAATGAGCCGAGGCTCTGGCATTTATCTCAAAGCATGACAGTTTATTTATAACAACAAATCAGTGAGATGTGCATAAGTTTTTAAAATATATTCCCCCCCCCTCCCGATTCTGCAGGCTGGTAGACAGCGAGATTTAATACTGGAACACAAGCACAAATCTGTGAAACTGTAAAGCAAAAATTGTGCTATGTATAGAAAAACTAAAAAATCCTTTCCCCCCCTCAATTTTCAGGTCTCATTTCCCCTGGAGTGTCAGTTCCAGTTCAAGTTCCTGGCAGTGAACCCGATATGTCTCAATACTGGCCAAGATTACAGTAAAACATGTGTTAATTCCGTAAATGACTATATGGACAACAGTTGGATGTTCAGCAGTATTTTATAAAGGAAGAATGGCTCTCAGAGTACTTCTGTACTGCAACTGTGCCCTATGCTGTAACACATGGAAAAGACTTTCACATGGACCTTTGTACACTGAAGGCATTATATCAGTTGGAACAAATCTTCATTTTGGTATCCAAACTTTTATTCATTTTGGTGTATTATTTGTAAATGGGCATTTGTATGTTATAATGAAAAAAAAAAGAACAATGTAGACTGGATGGATGTTTGATCTGTGTTGGTCATGAAGTTGTTTTAAAAAAAAAAAAAAAAAAGGAAAAAAAAAAAAAAGCCATGATCAACAAGCTTTGCCACGAATTTAAGAGTTTTATCAAGATATATCGAATACTTCTACCAATCTGTTCATAGATTATGGATTGATGTTCCAAGTTTGTATCATTCCATTGCATATAATTAAACCTGGAACAATACGCACTAGATTTATGTAAGAAAAATATCTGTTGGTATTTCCAAAGGTTGTTAACGGCTGAAGCTATGTGCAAACAGGGGTTAAGAGAGAACTTCGATGAAGAAAAGAGTTTGATAGATAAAAGGTAGATTGTGTCTTCGATATAATCCAATTTGTTTTATGTCGAAATGTAAGTATTTGTCTTCCCTAGAAATCTCCCAGAATGATTTCTATAATAAAGTTAATTTCATTTATATTTGACAAGAATATTCTATAGATGTTTTATACACATTTTCATGCATCATACGTTTCTTTTTGGTCGGCAAGAGTTAATTGTTCTTAGATATAGTTGTACTACTGTTCACAGTCCAATCATTTTTGTGCATCTAGAATTCATTCCTAATCAATTAAAAGTGCTTGCAAGAGTTTTAAACTTAAGTGTTTTGAAGTTGTTCACAACTACATATCAAAATTAACCATTGTTGATTGTAAAAACCATGCCAAAGCCTTTGTATTTCCTTTATTATACTATTTTCTTTTTAACCTTATAGTGTGGTGTTGCAAATTTTGTTACTGTGTTAGGTTAATCTCATTAAGTAGTTTTATTTCTAATTCATTTTCAGTTTTCAATAAGGAGGGATTCTTAAGAAACGTTTTTATAGACTTTCAGCACTTCTACCAGCCTGTAATTTGGGCTAACAAAAAGAAGATAGGTTCATGTATCTAATTGCAGCTGAGAGCAGGAGGAGGTTGTTTATTTAGCTCGGGTTTCTGGGGATGCTCTAAATGAACTCCAGAATCCAGCAGGATTTCCAGCCAGGAGTTTGGATCGTGCCAGTCAGTGGTGGAGAGGCGATGCACGCCCGTGTCTATCTGTTGTAATTATACATCAAGTACGTATAGACACATATACACACAAATATGCATTCCTGACTTCTAAAAATTGTTTTTGTTAGGATGCTTAAAAAGAAGAAGAAAAAAAAAAAGCAGCTGTGTTTTTAACAGGCTCTTTGGGAGAGTGAATACCATCCCTTTATATTGCCACACAGCACAATCTTAGTGTAATTTTCCATTGAACTTGTAACCTGGTTAATACCTCAATGCGCTTTGTGTGAGGGTTGTTAGTGTGGGCGTGGGTGGAGAGCTGCATGTCAAGGAATAATGAGAGAAGACAAATCAACAGGCAACAACAATGCGAGCTGGGACTGGCTAGTGAAAGCTAAAGGCCTTTAGTCACTGGCAGGGAAATCTAAACATTCCCATATCTATGAAGCTGGCTCATTGTGGTGCAGTTGTTACTTGCGATGCTGTGCTGAAAAAGGGATCTCATGATTAAAAAGCCAATGCGCGGGGAGTTTTGAGTCAAAGCACAGGCATCACAAGCAGCCTTTGTAAAGCAAAGATACCATCTAGGCTGGTTATGTTTTCCTTTCGGCAGATTTGTCACTGCAGATAACGCTTCACTGTAAACTTGGAGTAGCAGAGTAGTGGTGCAGAGGTAGTCGCGACGCTGCAGACGAGATTAAACGCACGTAAACTCCAGATCCTTTAGGGACAAAGGGCAGCTTTGCTCGAAGCGCAAGATGATAGTTAATAAAATCAAGAGCCCAAAGCAAGCAACAATGTGCAAAACCATTAGATTAAAATCTTGCTTTTTAATTGATACTGGTCAGTTGTAAGTATTTTTGTTATACCAGCATTACGTAGTTTTAATTACCTGGAAGCCATCCATTGGCAAATATTAATGAAACATGGATTTTTTTTTTTTATATGTATTTTTATCAGACATGCACATTATATATTAATAAGATATGGCTAGATTTCATGAAACACCACAATAGGCAGGTCCCTTCTCGCATAGCTAAATCAATTCTGGGAACAATTAATTACAGGTACAAACCCAGCATTTATACAGCCACTTAGCATGTTTATACCTACTAATGTAGTTTGTTATCCAAATGCCAACTTCTGCTCAACCAGGAATGGAAATGAGCTTCCTATCCCTTCCTCCCCCCAGAGCTTTTGTGCCGTGGTTGCTGTTTCTGCAGGTGCCGATACGCGGGCAGAGGCAGCTCCTCGTAGCTCTTCCCTGCCTTGCCCAGGTTTTCCCAGCCTTGCGGCTCCACCGCCTGTGGTCCAGCCACTGGTGGCCTCCATCGAGCCATCGCCAGTCCTCTGCGCCCCGTCTGAAGCCTTCTCCGGCGCATGCTGTGCTGCGGGGCTGCAGCCTTTCACAGCCCCGCACCTCTGCAGTCGCAGCGATGCTATCAAGCAGTTGCGTGTGAGGATGAACCTTGAGCTTATTTTGGTGACAGGCCAGCTAGCCGTGGCGGAGAGGAGACATTTCTGGCTCACTGGCTCGTTATTGTGCCCTATGGAAGGAGATTGGCGGGGAAAAGTCCCTGGCTGGCTGCACACTGGGAAGAAGTTAGGGCATTTGGTCCCCAGAGCGTTGCTTGCTTTGAAGAGCTGCTGCCGCGCGTGCTGGGGGCTCTGCGGGTTGCAGGCAGCCTTGTGCTCTGTCAGCTGCAAACGGGCGAGGGGGCTGTGTGCGGCTGCGTGGGGACGTGCTGCTTCGCCAGGCACTGCTACCAGCCGCATAAGTGGGAAATGAAAATCTTCAGCATGCTCTGAACAGCCTCTAATACCCATTTTCATGCCCTTTCTTCTTCTACAGCCATATTACTTACAAAGACGGAAATCTGCCGTAACGTGTTGCTCAGCGTAACGCATCAATTTCCAAGGGTCTCTGCTTTTTACCACTGAAATTAGTGGGAGTTTTGCTATTGATTTCATAGGAGACATTTCTGTGCATTTGGTTAAAATGTATTTCATAATAACACCTTATACTTTATTTATAAGCCCCTCCTAAGGCATTTCACAAATTATAGTCACACAAGAATTGATGTGTGAGCGCTGTCTTAATAACACTGTATTTTGTATTTCAAATATTGTGTTCTAGATACAATATTTACATTTACAAGTGAAAAGGCTGCTAACCTAACAGTTATTGTTCTGAGCAGACAGATGACGAGCCATACATGCTGATGGCGAAGCAGACACGCATGCGGTGACATACGTGTTGGAACTGCCTCGCACCGTGCAGATACCGGGTTTAATTTGTTTTTAAAAGGCAAGGCCGAGTCAGCGTGTGCCCGGCTCCAGGAGGCAGAAAGCTGCTTTCTCACCCAGGCCGCAAGACAGAAAGGGGATTTCACCACTTCTTTTTAGCTAGGTTTTTATTTATAAAGTGAGCAGAATACCCCTGTAGGCTTGTTTACTCTAGGCAGCCTAACAAGGGATCTATCTTTGGGGACAAAATTACAGCTGCGAAGAATAACCTGGGACTGATAACACGTATCGCCTCCCCCAGGCTTTCCTGCCATTGGTAGTCCTATTTCGTTCACTTTTCACGGCCAAAGGTGTCTGGCTTTTTTTTTTTTTTTTTTTAATTGATTTTTCTGGTATTACTGACTAAAACATATTATTCTCATTTTCTCTGGGTAATAGGTGGAGGTTTAGAGTGATGCTCAGGTTTAATTTGTTCTGCATTTTCATGGTATAAACAGCACTAGGAAAACTGAAAATACATAATTCTTTTTTATTTATTTATTTTTTTTCAGTTTCCATTTGCTCTTGCCCTCAACTCCAGTAGCTGAGCATTGCTCCACATGCAGCTGATAAGGCTCTTCTGCTCTGGGAAGAGTGTAGCATCTTCTTTTTAAATAACTCTTCTTTGACAGGACACCTGCTTACTTAATGAGCTCCTGCAGCCCTGTTTCTAATCAGAAGTGTGACTGGCACCTACAAATACCCAAATACCACCCCCCACTCCCCCCCATTAGAAATAGGCATATGAATTACAGATGTGAGAGTCTGTGATGGCTTTTTGGTCTTGTTCAGACAGCAGCAAGTATATACATGTCTTGCTGTGGAGAGAAGGCGGCTGCGGGAGCATGTCTTCAGCTGAAGATTTCAGGGACCCCTGAAGCCCCTGCCTTGCCCACCGTGGTGGAGGCAGAAGAAATGTTCCTCCTCTTCGTGTGGAAAATGAAGCACAGAATAGAGCTCCCTTTTTGGATTACTGCTGGAGAATGATGTTAGGCAAGTCTCTCACATGTTATCTGTTTAGTAGTTCTTAAGAGAAAAGAGCAGAGGATGGAGCAATCTGCACGAGATGCATAGTAGTAAAGATAGTACAGTTTGGATAGGAGCCAGGTTGGCAAGTTCCTTGCTTTAGAACGTATTTTAAATTAATTCCTCCCCTAATATTCTCTCAGACGTAAAGAAAAAAACCGCAACGTATCAGCAGACAGTTACTCAGGGTAGCTTACTTAGGATAGTTTACTATCCTAAGAGAGTTTTCAATAGCGATCGTGTGGAAGATGAAGGTGTTTTCATAGGGGCTGCAGAAATGAAACCTCAAAGGAATGAAACCATTTGATCAGTCTTGTAACACCTACAGCTGTCATGTGACAGATTTTCATGAAACCTCCAGCTGCCAGAATCCCTGTTGTGTCTTTTGAAGATG